GAGAGAGAGAGACGAGAAGGGGGTGGTTTGAGCAATTTTCCTGCAGCCTGACAAAAGCTTTGTCAGACTCTGGAATGGCGTGCCAGAGGAGAAAATGGGAGAAGATAGAGGAATGAGGCTCGAAATTGCAGAGTTTTAAGGGATGAAAGATGAAGCTCGCTCTCTGAATGTGGGTTGCTTGCCCTTTTTTTTTTTGGAGTTGTTTTACTGGGTAGAAGGTGTCTCCCTTTTATAGGCGATGGAAGCTCTTTTTTCCTAAGAAAACCCTAATTGGTTCTCTCCAATTTTGCTAAGTTTTCTCCTCAATTTCTCTCATCTTCCTTCAATTCAACCTCTTTTGTGAAGCCTTCCTCTATCCAAAGACACAAAGACAAGATTTTTTGGGAGCTTTAAGGCTTTCCTGCAGCTGCTTCAGTGTTAAACTCCTATTTTTGGGTATTACCTCACTTTCTTTCCTCCCTTATTTCATGGCAAAAGCTGGTATGAGAAATGAGTGGGTAATGACGCTGGTCTAAAGGGTGTTTTGCTCAAGTATATCCTTTGGTTTTTTGGATGGCTTGTGTTGGGATTTGTCTTTGGTCATGTGCTGGAGATTCTCAGCATCCTGTATACATAGGCAACCTTTGGCTTTTGTCGTTGGGTTGGTCTCCAGCTATGTGCTGGAGACTTTTAGATATTTTATAGTTCATTTGGGCCATTCTAAGGTGATGGGTTAACCTATTAAAGGAATGAGCTAATTTCCTAGAGTATTAGACTATTTTCTCTCATTTATGCTTGCCCGCATATTTGGGCTCAAGAAATGGGCTTGAGTTTTGGGGCTTCCAAGCAGCTCAAAACTTTCATTTCTCGACTCATCTATGGGTCTCATGAAAACTTGTAACCATCCATACCACAACCCACTCAGCAAGCCCCAGGCATTCGCGTGGCTTGAGTCCACTTACGCTTGTAGCGTGGCTTGTTGCTTATTTGCTTGGAGTGACAAGTGTGCAAGCATATATGACAAACTCTTGTGTACCAAAGTTGGGTTTCTTCCCAAGTTAGGTGTCGTATTGGGCTATAAATATATTTGGGCCCAGCCTTGGATTTTTTGGGCCTCAACAATGGTAATGTATTTTAACCAATTTTTTAGTCTTTTTATTTATTTCTTTCAATTCACTCACCTTGATTCTAGAATATTCTTTATTTCTAAAACGAGGCATGACATAATTCCTGTAACAGCAGACAATATCTTAACCAAAATTACATGTTCAAAACTTCTAGAGCTATTGCTTCTGAGGTTCAAGATACCAAGGGTAGGGTAGGTTGCAAGTACAAGCAAACAAAAATAACTTCGAAATTGGATAAGGAGTAAGGTTGGAATCAAGGTTTTTCTAACTCCTCTCCAAATTTTAACTTTGGAGCTCAAGAGCTTATTTAGAGAGCGTATTAGAGATTCATTACTCATATTAGCTCCTAATCATTATAACTATCTCCTAACTAAGGGACATGGTTGGTTGTAGTCGAAATTTTATAAAGAGCTCATACCATAATTTTATAGTTTTTTGAACTAAAACTTAACTTTAAAATAGATATATAATTAGAGATACTCGTAAAGTTTTTAACTTTTAATCTTCGAACCATCGTAGGCTCTACCCTCCATCACCCTATTAAAAACAACATAACAAAATATAAGTTAGAAATTTTATATATATTATCCCACATCTCCAATTGATAGTGAACTTATTATATTGAGAAACTCGTTAAATTAAAGTTGGGCGAGTTGAGATAACATGTTTAGAGATCAAATTTAAGTTCAGGTTGAACCTCCAACCTATCTAACCCACCTAACATATTATAATTGGATCTAAAATAAAGCACAAATCAATCAAAACAAAAACATTTGTATTAATTCATCTATAAATATAAATCCCAAACTTTTAATAAATAAAAAAATTTATTTCATTATCTAGGTAACTTTCAAAATTCCAATAAAATATTATTCCTTTCTTCTTCCCCATTGGGTCACCACCTTCTTGATCCAATAGTTTCTATGGGCCAATAAAGCTAATCGGTCCAAATTCACTGTTGTGACCCAAAATCACAACCCAACAGGCTCAACCATGAAAACCCAAAACACAAATGAGCACCAATTGGCAATTGCAGTCTCTGTCCATTGAAGATAAGTTAAAAATGAAAACAGTCCAACTTTATTCCAAAAAATCCTAACCCATCTTTCATAACCTATCAAAATCCCTTTTGCCCTCAGTTTTTTCTTCTTTATTCCCACTTTGCCTTCGTCGCCCTACTTTCTCCAGATTCTCAATTCTTCACTCTCTGAAGGTCTGACCGCTCCACCATCCCGACATATCTTCTTGCTTACATTAGATCTCGGCACAGCAGCCTGAGAAACACCCCCAGTTGATCATCTATGACGCTAGGTTCAGGAGGATCGGGTGTCGTGGGTGAGTCTTTCATTACCCATGTCCTCGTTTGATCAAATTTTTCTTTGATCTTGTTGTTTTCATGCAGTCTGCAAATGGGTTTTTATTGATTTTGTGGTTTATGAGTTTTTTTATATATGATATCACATGTTGGTAGGTAAGTCTGGCCTTTAGTTGAATAAATTATTGCTTTTCAAGCTGGTATTTTGTATTTTTTTTTTCCTGTTCATAACTTGTGTTATTGGAATCAAATTGAGCTCATTTCTGATAAAATTTTTACTTGCATAGTATTACAAGTTGGAAATGTAAGATTACATTTTTGGTTGTCTCTGTACAGAGTGCATTTATGGGGGAATAAGTCAAAGATTGTTTTTTCTTTTCTTCCAGTGATTTGTGTTTCATTACATAAATACCTTCCTGAGCCTTATTCGATGATGTTTCCTGTTTGTTCTTTCTCTTCATTGTTTATTAACCAATGTATGTTTAATTAGAACTTTTTTTTTTTCTACTGATTCTCCATTGAACGGCGTACTAAAGAGACTGTTTCAAATCTGCCAACCAAGCATGATTTGGTCTGTCTACATGCAAGTTTCTGGTTATGTTTGTGTGTATTCAGAGAACTGTGAATAAAAGAAATATATAATTCAGAACTATTGGGGGTTGTTGCTTATTTTGTCTGCAAGATTCTATTTATGTTCCCTCATATTGTCAAGCATGCACGCATGAATTTCCTTGCAGTCCCACGAAACTTCAGATTGCTGGAGGAACTTGAACGTGGAGAGAAAGGTATTGGGGATGGTACTGTCAGCTATGGAATGGATGACGGAGATGACATCTACATGCGTTCTTGGACTGGTACCATCATTGGTCCCCACAATGTAAATTTCTCTTTTTTTTTAGATTATGTCATGTTCTCGTTTAAGATTTGTTTTGTCAGATTACTTGTTTCATGCTTTCTTATCAGGAAAAAATATGTGTTGCATTTGTGGTCTCTCCCGAATTTGTCGATCACTCACTCTATTTAAACTTTCTGGAATTAGTCCATGCTTAGACCCTAAGGGCTTGTTTGATAGGGAGGAGTAGACTAGACTAGCTAAATGTCTACATTTCGTATGCATCTAAGGCATAATATGGATATGTTGTTTAACTTGGAGGAAGAATGGGGACTATGTATAAGAGGTTGATGACTAAAACTTATCCCCATGAAAATGGTGGGATTTTGAGTGATAAGTTTTAGTCATCACCCTTCTATGAATATTTCTCCCTCATCCTCTAAGTTAGACAACAATATTCATATTATGCCTTGATTGCACATGAAATATAGCCACTTTTAGTCTAATCCTCCCTAACAAACAATGCCTAAAAGGACTAAAGGTTGACATTGTGGAAAGCTTACTAGATCCTACCAAATAATTTGATCAGCATCGGCTGAGCTAACTAATATTTGCTCATCCTTAAGCAAATTCTAAGTACGAATTATATCGTCTTACCTTTACTTTTGATATTTATGACGTACTGGGTTTTAAGAAGTGATGTAAGACCTGCTTAAAAACTTATGGTACTTGTTCAGTCTGTCTTTATAATTATCTACTTTGAAAAGGAAGGGAAACTGTATGGGAGTCGGGGTCGGAGGTTCTTCAAATCTCTTGAATAAAAGGAAGAAGCTTTAGTTTTCCAACCTTTCAAACATACCCTATAATCTTTTGGTGGTCAATTCTTTCTTTATTCCTCCTCAAAGAATCTGTTTGGGATTAATTGATTCTTGTCTCCTGCTTGTTACTATAGCGTTGTTCAGGCAATGTTTTCTTATCAAGTGTTATTAAGCTTACGGAAGTGATGAAAATGTTATATGCTTCTTGCGTATATTTTTTGTATAATGCAATAATGTTCTTCTTTTTATTGTGTCCAGACCGTACATGAAGGACGAATCTATCAGTTGAAGCTGTTCTGTGATAAAGATTACCCTGAGAAGCCACCAAGTGTTCGTTTTCATTCACGGATTAACATGACTTGTGTTAACCATGAAACTGGAGTGGTATGATTATAATTTCATTAGATGATTTTTAATGCAGTTGTTTTGTAGTATGCATTTTTTTTCCCTCGCTGCAGTTAGTGTTTGCACCTAGCATTATTCAGACCCATTTCTGGTGGTCTAACAACCTCCCCCTTTTCATAAACAGAAGAGGAGAGAGAGGCGTTAGGTGTAGGGAGCATTTTTGCTCATCATTGAACCCAATTTGTACGCCACCCTACTCAATTTTTTGACATATGTCCATGCTTGTAACCATATTTAACCCCTTTTAAGTATAACATTTATTTATATAAAAAAAACACTCTCTCCCCTTCTCTTCGCCCTTCCTGACCCACCCGCACCAGCCACCTCCTCCACCTCGTTCAACCTCAACCACGCACCCCACCACAACCACCACCAACACCGACAAGACCCACGAAAAAGGCACATTCAATGGTCTGATTTTCTTCAATTCTTGTTACCTATATCCAATCAGCCACTCAAAATACGAACCAACCCTCTAGCTCTCCCTGCCCGACCTACCCCCAAAAATCAAACTAGACAAATTAGCCATAACCGACATTCAGAATCCACAATTCCCACCCAAAATAAAACACATCCAAGACTGGAAACAAAACAAGCATGAAAAAGTAATGATATCCAAATCAAAGATAAAACAAATTCACCATAATAAAATTTCAGTGACTAAAAACTAAGTCCAAAAATTCCAGATCTCGACCAAACAAATACCATTGACCGAAAAAAAATAAATTACCCAAAGCCAAATTGAACAAAATTTTATGGGGTTTTCCCCCAGTTCATAAAAAATTCAAAATCAAAATCAAAATTTTAAAAACCCATGACTTCTTGTTGGGACAAGCCCGAAAATTTCAGTAAGTTTTACAAGGATTTAATTCTGGTTTTACATTGGAGGGTGTGAGGTTGTTGTTGGGAGTAGACTTCGTTGGGTGGGGCTGAGGGTGATTGCTGGGGAATGGTGGCTAGGGTTGGGTGGCTGATATGGGTGGGTTGGGAAGGGGGAGAGAGAAGGGGAGAGAGTTTAAAAAAAAAATGTTATTTTACTATTGTTTTACTTTATTTTTCAGTTTTAAGTACTTAAAAAGATTTAAAGAAAAATGGTTAACTATGGTTACAAGCATGGACAAATGTCAAGTTTTGAGAAGGGTGGTGAGGGTACACATTGGGTTAAAGTGGTGATAAAAAATGCTCCCGTTAGGTGTATGCATTAGATAAGGTATATTTGTCTTTTGTTTCGTTGTAAAGAAACCAAGGTATTGTATAGTCTTTTACTACAACTATCACAAACAATTCCAGGATTGTCCCTCATTCTTAATTCTTTAATGATATTGGTGTTGTTTATAAGAACATTGATGGCCCCGACCAGACAGCTTTTGGACCAGGTGTATGACTATCGAAAATTCAGTCCACTTGGTTATTTTTAGTGATATTTTTGACAGTATCTCACACATCCAATTGAATAGGTGGAACCGAAGAAGTTTGGACCTCTTGCGAACTGGCAGCGTGAGTACACCATGGAGGATATACTTACACAGCTGAAAAAGGAGATGGCATCCCCACATAACCGGAAGTTGGTCCAGCCTCCAGAAGGTACCTACTTCTAGCTTTCAAGACCGTATAGATATCATGGAACCAATTGCATATGCAATATGCAATATATAGTTTGTAACGTCCGTGTTGCTGATCCTATGTTAAGATCGTGCAGGGGAGTGCCCCAAAAAAGTTTCTCTTGTTACCTCTCCGTGGCTTCAACTTTGTTTTGTTTTCTTCTTTTTTTCGAACTGTGTTCAAGGGATGCTGTTTGATTAATGGGATTTTATGTGTGTCCAATATTTAACATACCCTTTTAAGTGGACTCTTCTATCCTTCTCTGTGTATAGACTTCTTCTATCCTCTTATTGTTCTAGTTTTTCGGTTGTTGCCATTTTTGTCAATTATATTGTGAGTGGGAGAGTAAACCGAACTCCTAGTTCCCCGAAAATTGTGATTGTAAGCAAAACAGCCACAGCAATCGCAATGACAGTTGAAGCATGTTTCAATCACTCATTGTGGCAGTAAAATCGACTGTAAATTGTGTATGTTTTCGGTTCATTTTCATTGGAAGTAAATCATTTGTGATGTCGATCACCATGGATCTCAAGATGACTGAGGTCTGTTTAACCATCGACCATGATCCTGTTGGTACAGAATTATGAATTCTCTGTCGAAATGTGTAATTACTGTAGATTTTAGTTTGAGTATGTGTTGGTTAGCATTCCTCAATTGTAACTTGTAGATGATTCGTTTAACAATTTGCTTGGTTACTGCCTAGCAGATGCTTTGCCCAATTTTAAGTTTTATTTCTTACAAAAAGAATATTAAAAGCCAAATAAATTGACAAGGGGACTGCCAAATTTCTCGCTTTCGATATCGCCAACTGGGTGTTTGCTGCCAAATTTCTCACTTTCAATATCACCAACCAGAAATGGGTTTTGGAATTATTAAGAAAGTTTATTAAAGTATGTCAATTATTTCAATTCTTGACTTACTCTGCATTTACTAAAACATATAGATATATATGTATTACATACAAAAATTTGTAACAGAGTACCCGAAAATTTCGTAGTGAGGGGTTTTCTACTAGCTGTCCGATCTAGTGCAGGGTTATTAATTTAGGATTGATGGATTGAACCCCCTCATTGTAATACCTCAACATAGCAGTTCTCTGGATATTATGGATGAGTCATTGTTGGGGCAGCAGCATCGCATCAAGTCGGGTTTTGTGGCAAAGGGGAATGCATGGGCAGCAAAATGAGGAAATGTGGGTGACCTAACTTGGCAACTTGTTTGCTTGGACCTATTTGTACTATTATTTTTTGGCTTTTGCTTGGACATATTTTTGGCCTCTATTGTCATTTTCATGACTGGTAATCAAAAGCTCAACGTCTCAAAACACTACGCAAACAAACAATAGCACATGGCTTTCACATTTCTGTAAAGCTCGCTGCCGACGTTCGTTGTATGCAATTTAGTTTCTAAACACATGTTTTTGGCATTAATCAACACACTGCTGACTTGTCAAAGTCAATCCCTCCCTTCCCCTTTTTTGTTCTACATTAATGTTTGAAAAGAAATCGACCTCGAGTTCTCGTTAAAACAAGCATTGTTAACAAGTAAAGAAATCGACCTCCGTCTTTTCTTGACCCTAGCATATATTCAGGTTGTTTAGTCTCAATAACTACCACTTACTTCCCATTGGTTTGTTTTTTCTTTATTGTGGCACCATCTACGTCATCAAGCACCTAAGTTCTTACATCTTTGGTAAAATAATTCACGAGCATGGTTTCAATTATCGCCTTCTCAATTATTTTCTTCGCATTACTTTTAACCTTCTTTGATTACGCAACTGCGTCAATTGAGTGTTTCCAATCTCGCATATGCAAAATGTTAGTAGTATAAGTGAAGACTAATTTTATCATCCTCGGAGCAATGGTGGAACTCGTCGAACAAATAATGATATGGAGAAATATTCACCATGTCCTATTTTGGGATCTCCATGATCTTGAAGAAATATTCAAATACAAACTTCTCATGACACAATAAATATTGTCAATATCCTCAAGTTAAAATTGATGAGGCCGACTTCGAGCGAATCTTCAAACACACATTATAGTTGCCGAGTCTTCGAAATGCAAGAGTTAATTCATCCAATTACCTTATCATTTTTATCACATACAGTTTGATTTGTATACTCGCCATGTTAAAAGGAAGTCTCAAATTTAATGGATAATAAACAAAAGTCTAAATATAATAAAAACAACTTTTATATAGCAACCAAACCTAATTCGAATGGCAAATATAAAAGGAAAATCTTCTTCTTCTTTTTTTGGTTGAAAAAAGAAAATCTTAATCCGAAAAGGAAAGCAAATCAAACCAGAGGGGAAATCGCAAAGGAGCCACGAATGTAGTCCCCCAAGAAAGGTCTAGATTCGAGTCCTAGTATCCATTTAGTATGTGTAAATTTAGTATATTATCGTCCATCTTAATAGGAAATGCCCTAAAAGAAAACAAAACAAATTTGACTAATAAAGGATGAGAAATTATTGTTATGACCCAAGAAATGCCCCTCGATCCCCGCAAAACTGTTTGTATTTAAGCGCACGTCAATCTCACGGTGGTCAATACGGCCATGAGCACAACGACGAGTCAAAACACGACGGCCACCATTGTTTTCAGGGGCTCCACCACTTCCCCAACTTTAGCTAAATTTTAGTTAACACAAATCTACAAAAACACAAATTAAGGAAATTAACAAATCAACAACAACACCAAATTTTATAATAGTATCTCGCAACAAATCCAAAAAAATTTAAAGTAACAAAAATAATAATGAACGCTTGCCCCACACGTCTTGCGTCTATCTCCTCTTTCCATCGATTCTGTATAAAACTGCCCCCTTTTTTCCTGTTCGTCTTTCAAAATAATCCATCAAACCCTAACCAAATTCACCATCATATTCCTCTTATTTGTTTTAAATTTCGTAACAAGCAATCGTCGATTCGGATCCGATTCAATCTGATCTGGACGACCTTATGCTATGTCTTTACCCGACCCGGCACAGCGCCCTCTGCCCCTAGGCATCCTGACCCGGTCGGTCTGGTCCGATAACCTCGACTCCGAGTTCGAACTGATCCGGTCCGTCATCGACGATTACCCGCTGATTTCAATGGACACCGAGTTTCCGGGCGTCGTTGTCCGACCCGACCCCAACGACCCCACTCTCCGGCACCGGGAACCCGACGCGCACTACCTCATGCTCAAGGCCAACGTCGATCGTCTTAATCTGATTCAAGTCGGCCTCACGCTCTCGGACGACAATGGCAATTTGCCGAATTTGGGCACCGAGAATATGTATATTTGGGAATTCAATTTCCGGGACTTCGACGTGGCGCGAGACCCCCACGCGCACGACTCAGTGGAGTTGCTTCGGCGGCAGGGGATCGATTTCGATCGGAACCGGGATTTCGGGGTCGACTCGATCCGGTTCGCCGAGCTGATGATGTCATCGGGGCTCGTCTGCAACAGCGAAGTAAATTGGGTCACGTTCCATAGCGCTTACGATTTTGGGTACCTAGTCAAGGTGTTGACTCAGCGAGTCTTGCCGGAAAAGCTGCCCGAGTTCTTAAATTATGTGAGGGTGTTTTTCGGGTCTGGAGTTTACGACGTGAAGCACCTGACGAAGTTCTGTGCCGGCCTATATGGTGGGTTGGACCGGATCTGCCAGACCCTGAAGGTGAGTCGGGTTATCGGGAAGACCCACCAGGCCGGATCAGATAGCTTGTTGACCTTGCACGCTTTCCAGAGGATCAGAAAGGACTACTTTTCCAAGGATGGCAAGGACTTCATTGAGAAGTTCGCCGGCGTTTTGTATGGTCTGGAGGTTTCTTGATATTTCCATTGAAATCTATTGCTCATAGGTTTCTTTCTTTCTCAAGTAAATTTTGTACACATGACTTGGCTTTATCAATATCATTAGTAGGTTTTATTAAATTCTTTGCAGCTCTTGCTTGTGCATTTCATTCCACTTCTTCCCATTCTGTTTTTTCTTTCTGGACTCTCATCTACTTTTTATTTTCCATATTTGTTTGTGAATATAATTGGTGCGTTTGGAGGCCTGTAGAGTTAGGAACATTGGAGATGTTTGGGAAGAGGACTTAATCATTGGAGTGTGACTGTCGAGTTTGGTCTCTTTGTGTGGAATTTAATGAGTTTTTTAGAGTGTATACAAGTAATTACCAAATAAGTTGGATTATCTTGGTATATAAAAACAGAGAGACAGTTAATACTTTTCCAAATTCTTCTTCAGGTCATTGTCATAGGAATGTGTAGACCCCGGTTGTTGTCACTTTGCAAGATGATTGAATTCTGCAAGAAGCTTTAACTTATTTGATAAGATAATCAAGAATTGAATATGACGATCAAACCAGAATTACAAGTGATAAGCTCCTTCCTCCAATGTTGAAGAACATATTACTTTGAAGATGAATATGTAATATCTAGGTTCTTGCGTTCTTGGTAATGTGAGCTTACCACATAAACTTTTTAATACCTGTCCTCTCTATGCTAAAGAAAGAGGAAACAATCGAACAAAGACTACCAAGCAGCCTTTTAGCCTCTCTTCACAATATAAATGTGTTCTTTAGGACTTGCAATCCTTATGGACCACAGCATGTACTGTCAATTTCTTTGTTAGTTATATGCTTATTCAGTATGGCCAATACCATTATCACCCCTTCCAGTTGCATATTGGCTTCCAAAACTACTGGAAGATGAATAATCATTTTGTGTCAATAAATCCCACACGTGCCATACAAATGGACTTGTCCCCTTACCACAGCTTTCAATTATTATTTATGGTACTAATCTAGGTCATCCAATCTGAGATGCATTACTTAATATTAATAATGACTCCCTACACAATTTATCCATTAATGTAGTGAGAGCGAGAGTTCCAGATTCGTGGCAGAAGCGGAAATAGTAGTGAAAGCGAGAGTTCCCATTATGGAAACAGTAAAAGAGAGAGTTCTATTATGGAAAGTAACTTAAATGATAGTGATTTAAAACTGTTTGTTGATTGATCACCTTACCAGGGGTATTGCACTAGTTATCAGGCAATACAAGTTCTAATCTGATTTTATTGTGACTACTAAATTGCTATGTAAGTTGAGTGATTTTTGCATAAGGTGACCTGCTGGCCATCATAATATGAGGTTTATTTTGCACCAGCACTTGCCAAATGGAAGGTGGGGAACATTCTTGTCAAACTGCAATGGGGGCAGATGAAGGCTATTCATTAAAGTTTCTACCAGCCAATTCTTCATTATCATCATCATCATCTTCTGTTATATACTAATGAAAGTGTATCATGTA